GTCAAGCACTGAGTAAGGACTGTAGGATTTAGCCTAGTAGAAACTCTTTTGTAACCTATTGTGCTTGGGGTCATTACTGCAGGATACTGTTGTGTTTTTTGTTACTGTAGTATTAATTACTGCTGAGCAGTGATATGCTCTTTGAAATTCTGTAATATTGTTTACTGTAGAATAGCGTAGCATTCATTTCTGTTGACCATTGTTCTGTTTTTTTAGTACTGTAGTATTAAATACTGTTGAGCAGCGCTGCTGGGTCTGTTTCTATGGCGTATACTACAGTATCAATTACTATGGAATAGTGTAGCAATTCTTTAAAGTAGGGTAAAATTCCTAGTTCATCCTGCAGGCTACTCCTGCTGTGTCAAGACCCCATAATGTCATGGCTCAAAGCCAGAGCAAAATCACCCAAACGTGGCCCTGTTAGTGTCAGACGGAGGTTGCTCTGATCTGGCTCACAAGATCATGAATGTCCCCTCAAGACTCCATCCATCCATCCATCCCATTGCAATTGTGGTGGGTAGCAGCCATTCCTCCTTAGTTGGTGTGTTCTATGGGGGCCTATTCATTCAGAGTCCTATACTGATCCCCATGTTTTGAGACACCAGCAGGTAGGAGAGGGAGAAGCCAATTTGGTAGCCCGTCACAAGTCTGCTCAGGAAGACCTTCAGTACAGAGACCCCCAAAGGAAACAGGGAAGCCATGTTAGCCACCCAGGAGCACCCCAGCTGTACAGAGAGGCCTTCATGGGGGAATGCTACAGCAATAACCCCAGAGATTACTGAGCTGGAGGGTATCTTGAGGCCAGGCAGGAGGTCAAGTGGCAGAGTTACTTAACAGGACATGGTTGCTGGGATGGGGTGGGGACTCTACGTTCACCATTGCAACCTCATCAGTTTTTAAGCTTTTCTTCCTTTTGAACTTAGAAGACATTTCAGGCTCCGTTCAGTTGGGAGAGCTTCAGCAATGGACCAGCCACTGCAGCCCCCATACCCCCAAATTTCCCACTGCCTCACGCATAGCCGTATATAAAAGCCCTCTCCTTGAAATTGGATGACCTCCCTGGTGCGCCCACACACACACACACACACACACACACACACACACACACCGAGACGCCAATGCAAGCAGCAGGCTGGGCTGCACACAGGTTGTTAGTTTATTGATACACACTGTCAGCACAGCACAGGTTTGTAAGGGGTTTTCTTTACAGCGTGCATCATACACAGAGACTGGAAAAGCACCACATCAGGCCAGGGATGGTGCGGACGCTGCCACACAAGCGCCATGCTGCGGTTGTCAGCCACGTGTGGGGCGCAGAGGGCAAAGGGAGATGGAGTCTCTCAGATCAGACGCGGCCCCTTCTGGCTCCCACCCTGATGCTGCGGAAAGGGAAACCTAGCCTATGTCGCCTTTAAAGGGACAACAAGAAGCTCCCAAGCAGAAATCCGCTCCCCCCTTGTAGACACCCTCCCAGCCAGATTCTGACTCTCCCCTCCTGGTCTCATGGGGGCACCTACGTCAGTCTAAGTTCAATCAACGTCCTGCTCCAGAGTGTGCGTTACACCAGCCTCGACTCCCCGACTGTAACACGCATTTGCCAATGGGCAACTTACAACCCCCTTACACAACACCTCTGAATTGGGCCCACTGATTCAATGAGTTCACAGTCAGCTGTGCCACACACCTCCTCCTCCGGTCTCTAGAGAAACTGTCAATCCCACTCACCACCTCCCCCATCCAGCTGTCTCTAGGAAAGGCCGATTGTCACCAACCCCCTCCTCCTTCTGTCTCCAGGGAAGACTGTCCGGGTATGTCTACACTGCAGTAAAAAACCCATGGCATTGGGTCTCAGAACCCAGGTCAGCTGACTTGGGCTCGGGCTGCAGGGCTAAAAATTGCAGTGGAGATGTTCCGGCTCGGGCTGGAGCCCAGGCTCTGAGACCCACCCCCCTCATAACCTTGGGGGAGCTTGAATGTCTATATTGCAATTTTATAACCCCACCGCCTGAGCCCCACGAGCCTGCGGCAGTTGACCCAGGCCCGCCATAGCTGTGCCGTGGATCTTTCATCGCACTGTGGACACACCCTTAGTCACCACCACCCTCCTCCGCCTGTCCCCGGGGAAGGCTGACTGTCACACCTACCACTCCCTGCCTGCACCCATCTCCAGTATATTACCTCAATTCTCACATTGCCACGAGCAATGAAACATAAGTCACATGGTGCTGTAAATCCTGTGGCCGTTGCTGGAGTGATCTATCAACGTTACTGCTTGGAGAAGCTTCCAAGAATGCCGCAGCCTTTGGGACCTCCGTGTCAGTATCCGCACACAGGCCAGGAAACCATGCACTGCCTGTGGGCATCAGCAGCCTCTGCACAAGCCACGTCCCAATGGACGAGTGGGGGGTTTTCAGTTGGCGTGGCTGGATTTTGCAGTATGAGGGGAAATCAAAAGCTAGTGTAAAAAAAGCCAAGGTCCTTATCGCTTCCTGGCTGCGGCACTAACAGCACAACACCGCGACGGCACACAGCAAACACTGCACAGCCGGATGCTCAAGCACCCCAAACGCCACTAAGAATGAAAACACTACTGTGCTCGCCAGAGCAGGGCCTCCCTTCCTGGAGCAATGGCCAGCGCTTGACATTTCCCTCCTCTTTTAAGGGTGACTGTTTGATAATAAACGCCCTGCTCTATTTCTCTGGGCAGCTGGGGACATGCCGGGTATAGAATATGACTGCTCACCAGGAAACTATAGGATCTTTATCCGCTGCTAGTGGCTGGTCTACATAAAATCTGTTTGTGAATCTACTACTTCTGCTGCTAGCAGGGGGACTTGCTCCTTTAATTCACGCAGTAGCAGCTCAGGCTTTTAAAGCTGAAGGTTCCTGGGTTCAACCCCCCTGCTGGTGAAGAGGACGGCAATCAGAATTCTGGGACGCCAAACATCTTCCAGCTGTTGGTACCAGAGTCCTTAGTTCATTTGATTGGACCTGCTGCTTCGGATGCCCACAAGCTCCTCTGTGGGTCATATCTGATTTCCAGATGCCGAAAAACCTCTCCACACAGACCATCCCTGTTGCCTCTGTCCTCCAGGCCCTGGCCCCAATCTGCAGTGGGGCGTGGTGAAAGGGCAGACTCTGCATCTCTCTTCCAACTTAGGAGATGCCACCTCATCCTGTCCTGTCTCGGGGCCAAGGGCAGCTCGCAGGCATGGCTAGAAGGCTGACGGGCGCCTCACGCCACATGTTCGAGCAGACTGGGTGCCAGCAGACTCCCCTGGAAAGCTAAAGTTTTCACATAGCACAGAAAGCCCAGCACTATTTATAAAGAGGAGGGAGAGAGGCCCAGCCTTGGGAGGAGGTGGCTGGTGTGGGGAGCAGGGCGGGCCTGGGGCAGGAGCATGAGGAAGTTCTGCTAGGCTCAGGCTGCCTCAAGTGATGGACAAGTTAGGTTGAAGCAAGAATGGGGCTCTGCTGTGAATGCCTTGGGATCTAGCCAAGCCTCTCTTCGCCCATCGCCTGGAGAAAAATGCAGCCCTCAAGACCCCTCTTGGGGCAACACGTCAGTGGCCGTAGCATGGCAAGCAGATCATGCCCGAGGGACATGGTAGCAGCAAGGAGACCCAGCGCTCCGATCAGCCTGGTTCCATGGTGCGCAGCGGCGGGAGGCCAGGGGAGAGCCGTGCTTGGAGGTGGGAGTGGGCAAGGAGGACAAAAAGAAAAGAGGCTGAAATTGTTCCTCACCCCAGAAGCTGGCAGATCACTCCAGGACACGGCTGAAGTCACAAGCAGGGAGGCTGCATTCCTCCCCCGCCCAGCCGGGGTGGGAGGGGGCCTCCTGGGCAGGGCTAGGCTCCACCTGAGACAGGGGAGCAGGTACATTCATGCTGCAGCCACCCCCGGGAATTCCAACACACCCCAGGAGTGCCACGGGGCCTGTCAGGACCTGCAATGGGGCCGCTCGCCCATCCCACACGGCGCTTAACCAGGTAAATAAAGGCTGTGAAGCAAGAAGCTCCAGGACAGCCTGGGGCTGAGACAGAGCCCGGATGGAGGGAGCTGAGGGTGAGGTACCTGCATGCTCTTTCCTGAGCCTGCCAAGCCTCCAATAGCTGAAAGTCCCAACCAGGAGAAAACAGCAGGCTCTAGTTTCACAGCTGGCCATCTAAGCTAGGACCCACACCTGGGCTAGGTGATTAAGTGCATGCTGGGTTCACAAGCCCCCAGTGCAAATCTATCTCCCTGGGCTAGGAGGCTGGCTCCCAGCTGCAGTGGGACATACCCTTCAGGGCTCCCCAGGTGGGAATCAGGTGGCAGGTGAGGATCTAGCCCACCTGGGCAAGGTAGGAGTTGACTGAGCGCTTAGCAAAGGGCAGGGTTGGGGGGAGTAGCGGAAAGGGAGGGGCTCATTGAATTGACAGGGTAAGGGAGGGCTGAAGGGGCAGACCTAGGAGAAGGGGAGCTCATATCAGAGAGGGAAGCGCTCCGGGTTCCCCTGATGACAACATTTCCGAATTAACCCAAAGCTCCTGTTCTTTCCAACTTGAAAATGGCAATGAATGGGCAGCTTGGTTCTGAGGGGGCTGGAGCTCCCACTTCCCAGTGGAGCAAGTGCGGAAGGGGGCGGGTCTTTCCACCTTGGCGTGAATCAGATTAGCAGCCAGCTCAGGAGCTCAGGTGTTTCCCTTCTCACACTGACCAGGGTTTGTCTGCAGGAGTCAATGGAGGCCAAGATCCCATCTGAGCAGCACCGGAGGTCCTCTCTCACTAGGGCCGGGATCCTGCCAAGTCCATATTGACATTGGACAGCGAGGCATGCACAGAGAGATTGGAAATCCACAGTCCACACTCACTCCAGCCACAACTCCCATCCAGGTCCCGGTTTCTACCCCTGCCCCCATCCCAGACCACATCCATTGCAGAGAGCCTCAGGTTAGTCCAGTCCTGCCTCATGCATGCCTCCCCACACACGCATCCCCTCCAGCTCCCCCCTCAAGTCACTAGCGCCCCACGCTGATGTTGCACGTCTTGCAGCTGGGGTCTTTTTTGGCATCAGCGGTGGAGAGGCTCATGAGTTGGTGGCCGCTGATCTCTCCCAGCACGCCCAGGCTGAGGTCGACGGGCTCGGTGTATATGACCTCCAGGATGATGTCCTGGGCGTGGTGATAGACCAGTTCGCCGTCCTCCATGCAGCAGGTCAGGAACTTGTTGCAGGAAATGTCCAGCTGGGGCAGGCGCTCCCGGCAGAAGTGGTCTCCCGGGGAGCCCTTGGGGGCCAGCACCAGGACAACGTAGTGGTAGGCGGTGTACATGCAGTAGAAGTCCGCAAAGTAGAGGTTGGTGTTGGGGCTGAAGAGGCGCTGGGCGGGGATCTGGAAACGGTAGCGGCCGTAGGGCGAGTCCTGGGGGGGCTGGCCTGTGTTGAATTCGGTGTTGCAGCTGAAGAAGATCCCATTCAGCATGCCGCTGGTGGGTGAGCCGTGGCTCCCGCTGTTGTCCTTCAGGGAGGGCTTCATCATGTTCCCACAATGCATCCTGAGAGGCAGGGGGAGAGAGAGTGTCAGCCCAGCGGAGGGGGTATGGCTCTTGTGCTCCGTCGGCTGCACTAGAGACTAGCTGCTCCTCGGGGTTACCCCAGCACGCCCCCACTGAAATCCTGGTTCGGATACTATTTGCTGGTGTGGGTATACCACAAGCTAGTGTTTGTGGACTAGTGGTTAGAGCAGGGAGTGGGATTGGAGCCAGGACTCCGGGGTCCTATTCCCAGCTTTGAGAGAGGGGTGGAGTTTCGTCTATGGGTTAAAACAGGGGACTAGGCATCAGGACTCCTGGGTTCTATTCCCAACTCGGGGAGTGTGTTTGAAATTGGTTTTACTTTCGAGCGAGTGCAGATAGGTCTGGGACAGGACAGGGTCAGAGGGGAGCCCAGCCGTGCAGTCCCAGCTCTGTGTTCTTTGTGCCCTCTCATTCTAGGTAAGGAAAACATCTCCTGGAGATGGTGCTTCTTCCCCCCAGACCCCCTGCATTTGCTAGGCTGGGTGTGTGTTCCGGCCCTGCTAGGGGAGCCGCGGGGGGGGGGGGGGTAAGGGGGTGTTACCTGACGTGCTGGAAATATTCCTTGTGCTGGTTCCTATAGAAGACCGAGAATCTGAGCATCCTGCCCGCAATGAGCTCAGCCTTCTCCTGCAGCTGGGCCAGGTGCTCCTTAGCATAGTCTGCAAGGGGGAGGGAGACATTGGCCATTACCTACATCAGTGCAGCCAGCTCCCCACCTACCCACCCCTCTGCAACCTGCTGGGTCCCTCCCCACTCCCTCCAGACAGCTGGCTCCCCAGCAGCTCAGGCTGGCTCCCCCTCCCCACCACAGCCAGCTGGCTCCCCCTTTGCACCTGTGGCAACCAGACAGCTCCCCCTCCCCATTCCCATCTTTCTGCCTCTCTCCTATGGCTGCAGCCAGCTCCCCCCACCCCTTTGTTTATTCCTTCCCCTGCCTTTACAACCGGTTCCTACCCTTTCCCCTAGCTGGCAGCAGCCAGCTCCCTCCTCCCTTTGCTTCCCCCTCAGGGTGCGACTAGCTCCCACACCCTAAGTCTCCCACTCTTCCACTGTTGCTCCACAAGACAGGGTTTTGCTAGCTCTCTCCCCCCCGCAGCCTCTGTTCTGCCTCAGAGTCAGCAGCCCCCACTGCTCTTGGGTTTTTTATATGCCTTTAGCACAGGACGCTCCCGCCCCTCTTGGGCTGCCCTGCATCCATCTCCCTCTTCTGTCCCCTTTCTCCTCAGCCCTTCCCCAGAACACCCACAGCTTGCAAATAGGCTCCTGCCCCAGGGGCAGGGGGTCTTTGACTGCATAGGACGCCCCTGGATACCAGCACCATTGCCCCAAGGCTCAGAGGACCGGGGATTGTTGGGGAACAGAGAGCTCCCTGGCCAATTTGGGAGGGGGGACGGGCAGGGGCACACACAAAGCCTCCCTCTGCGGCTTGTCACTATGGAATTGGGGGGGGCTCCAACCTGTCTGAAAGCAAAGCAGGGGAGCAACGATCCCCCCTCTGACACCACCCCAGCTAATGCAGGAGAAAGGAAATCTATTTGTGGGCATTGTGCTGGTGGCAGCTGGTCTGTGCCAGCCCCCTCAGACTTGGCAGCAGGCCCATTAGGGAGCAGTCGCTGGCTAAGAGAAATGGCTGCACAAAGAGGCTGGAGCCCCAGGGGGCAACTCATGGGCAGCTCAGTTCTCGTTTAATATTCAAGCAGCATGAACCTCCCCCCTCCCCCCAGGGCTCGCACAAACAGCGTGAACTCCCCAGACCTTGTATAAGCAGTATGACACGACAGAGGTTTTCCCCTCCCCCCGAGGGCAGATCGGATGTGGGTCCACAGTGAACTCAACTCTGAGAACCAATTCCCCTCTGTGGTGCAGCAGGCTGGAGATTCCCTTCCGAGGACGGGCCGCGGGGGCTCATCACAGTCTGTGCCAGCTGGGCACGGACCATGTGGCTGAGGTTCCGCTACCAGCTATTGCTCCTGATTCATCAGGGCACACTCACCCCCCGTGCAGAACTCCACGGTCTCACTCCAGCCGGACACCAGGTACTCCCCATCACTCTGCTTCACCGCTGTCTGCACGGCCACGCTGTACTCTGTCCTGGGGCTCAGGAACCAGTGACCCCTCACAGTCATGGGCAGTGGGACTGCCTTGGCGACCAGCTTGGTGGGCACATCCTGTTCAAGGGCAAGAGCCATGCCACACATGCAAAAATAAACCAGGCTTGGGATCGAAGCAGTGTGGCTAGTGATTCCCCCTGCCAAAGCCTCCCCCTACGAGCAGCATGACACCCGGGCCCTGGTACCCTGGGAAGTACAGCACCCATCCAGGCATAGCCTCAGAGCATTGCACAAGGCTGATCTGGCAAGACCCTCCAGCAGCTCCCCTGAACTGGATGTGCATGCCTGTAAGGGAGCCTGTGCCTGCCCATGATGAACAGAGAGGCAGGTCATGGAGACCTTGGGAAAACCCTTCTTAAAAACAATCTTAGTCTATTACAATGACAACCGCCATGGCTCCACAATCTGCTGTACAGGGAGCTGCATGACCTACTGGCGTGGAAAACTGTTGGGTATATTGCTACAGTGGCCACTACTCTAAAACAACTGTCACTACTAATATGTTGCTCTTATACAGCATAGACTGACCGAGAATGCTGCCAAATTCACTATAATAGAATACCACTGCTTTCTAGCATCACCATAGCACTCATTACTGTAGTACACTGCAGAGTAGTACTGTTACTAATATCTGTTACTGTAGTATTTGGTGCCATAGTATCTACTGAAGTGGAATACTGTCATATCTGTTACTGCAGAGTATTATAATATTCATTAGCATGGTATTAATATCTGTGGAATACTCTGGTACTTGTTATTGCAGAATAATTTATTACCATGGTATTTACTGTTGTAGTACTTGTTACTGCAGAATATGTAGTATCTATTGACACGATACTCACTGCAGTGGAACACTGCAGTACTTGATATTGCAGAACATTGTTGTCATTATTGCCATGGCATTCATTTCTGCGTAACACTGTAGTAATTATTGCCATGGCATTCATCACTGTGCAATACTGTAGTACTTGTTACTGCAGAATGCTGCAGTATCCATTAACATAGCATTCAGTCCTATGGAACATTAATTCTTTTTCTGTTTGAGCAATGTCTGAGATGGTGCCTTCTGGGTTGCACCACTAAGGCGCCAATATACATCCCACCCCACCCAGCAAGAGTTGTGCCCAACTCCTCTTGCATGCAAGATGGGCAAAGAAATCTCTCAGAGCCCTGGAAACAGCCAAACAAGCTCTGAGGTGTCCTGAAAACCTTTGTTTTAAGGAATAAATTGCCGTGTCAGTAGGCCACAAAAGCATCAGTGCAGCGCAGTGCCGTTTCTGTGGCAACGGCAAATGCTGAAGAGTCAGGAGACGTGGGGGAAAAAGAAGCTTATTATTGGGGAGGGGGAAAAAAATAATGTTTAACATTAAATAGCATCACCGTGGTAACCATCCTGCTAAAAGGATCCTGAATTAGTGACTCTGTTCCAGAGGGAGAAGGAAGAGTGAGTAATTCACTCCACGTCTCCTCTGGTTATGTGTTGGAGGGTACGTTTAGCACTCCTCTCCATGCTGATTTGAGGGGTACAGCTGCCTCCTCACCCATCCCCACACTGGTTCACGGGAGCAGGCCTCAAGTCTCCCAGGGCTCACTGCTGCTCTGGCCCCCTGGCATCAAATCTCCCCAGGCAAAACCTCTTAACTTCACAGCACAGTTGGGTGGGGAAAGGAGGCTCTTTTTCCTGGCTCAGGCATCTCGGGCTGGTGACACTAGTGGGCTGAGAGTCTGAGGGGCTCAGATCCAAATCCTTCTCCCACTGAAGGATTTTGACAGTAGTGGGACCGGGCTTTGAACCTGACTCTTCTAGTTACCCACAGCACCAGGCACAGCGCCCCCCCATGCTGTCCCCACCCATGAACCTAGTCCCTACCCTGAAGGGACCCCTTCCATGCTCCATAGGACATGCACCCCTTGGGTCCTTCACTGGAGCTGCCAGCAAAGGGACCCAGTTTGGAGGCATCTGGGATGTAGATACGCAGCTGTGCCGTGAGGAAGAGATGGCATCCGATGGCTACACGGGGAGTGACTCAGCGCTGGGCTGAGTACTCGGGAGAACAATCGTTGGCTGAGGGTGGCGACGAGCATCCGGTTGCTACCCACGTTTCCCCCTGCCCCTTGCTCACCCTGTGTTTGAATTTGTTGGAGTTCTTGTTCTCCTTCTTGTTGAGGTCGATGAAGTAGTGGGTGACTCTCTCCAGGTCTCCCCCGTCCATGGCCCAGGAGATGCGGAACGAGTCGCACGTGATGTTGTTGATCTCGATGCTGCGGGGGGTGGAGAGCAGCTCCATGGTCCAACCCGCCTGGCTCCTACGGCACAGTGAGGGGATCAGTATGGTGACGGGCAACCGAGGGGTAGAGGCCATAAAACCAATTGGCCTCACGACCAGATCCGGAGCCCATTAGAGTCAATGGACAGACTTCCCTTCACCAGAGTGGGTTTAGCCTTCAGCCCACAGCATGGCCCCAGGGCAGAACCCCCTGCCCCAGCATGGGACTCCATTGCAGCTTCTCGTCCCCGATGTGAGAATTTGGGGGTGCTCTGAGGCAGCCCCTCTGCCAGCACTGGAGAGAGAGTACTCTGTGGAGGTGTATGTTTACACAGCTATCTGGATGCACACGCAGCTTCTGTGGTCACAGCTCTGCCAAAAGGGAGTGAAAATGCTGGCCCTAAATGAAGGGGGAGCGGGGGTGAGCTGGGACTCGGGAAGCATGGGTGCTCACATGGCTAGGAGGCCATGCTGGGAATGGCTGAGCACGGCCCAGTTGTAGAGGAAGGCTGACCTTGTTGTCAATGCACTGGCCCAGGACTCGGGGGGGACCTGGATTCCATTCCTGGACTCCCTTGGTGCTTTACATAGGTCACTTACTGTCAGATTTCCAAAAGGACTGTGCTGTGTGTGTGCCCCTGATAGGCACCAGACGGCCAGCACATGCTGTGTTGAGCGCTATGGAAAAATCTGGCCCCAGCTGTGGGTGCTGAGCCCTTGAAAAACTGACCCCTCGCCGCTCTGTGCTTCAATTCCCCCGCTGTAAAAGGGGGCCACTGACACTTCCTTGGCGGGCCTCCTCTATCTAAGGTGTGAGCTCTTTGGGGCAGGGACTGTCTCTGATCCTATGGCTGTGCAGGGCCCAGCACGATCTTGATTGGAGCTACTGGAATACAAATAATAGCACAGAGAATAGCCCTTCCCAAAGAGCAGTAACTCAGGCAGCGATTCCCCAGCTTCTGTCATTCTCTCGCTTCCTCTCCCCATGTATGTGCCCCTCTCATCGGAGGAGCCCTAATTAATTCCATCTGAATCCATGGCGCCAGCTGAAGAGCGGGTGTCAGCCCACACGGAGGTTTGACAGAGCAGCCGGCACCTTGCAGGTGTTGGTGCCAGCAAGTATATCGCAAGCCTTGAACGGGACAGATTCGGAGCAGATGGTGCTGGGGAGGGAAGGGGCTCTGGGCCAACAGGCGCGAAAGGAGGCGGGATTTGAGGGGTTTTTTTGTTTTGAAAGGAGAGGAATTGCAGGCAGGGAAGGGGGAGGGGGGTTGTGCATGCCAGGAGCTAGAGAAAATGTGAGAATGCCAAGCGGGGGGGGGGGGTTCGGGGGGGTGTCTGGGTAACCCCCAGTTTTAACATCCCCTTTGTCATTTCAGGCACTGCTTTGCACTGTGCTTAAAGCAGCTTGATTGCCGTCATTATACAGAGGGCAGGGTGGAATGGCAGATAGCCATATACTGCAGTTACAGTGGAAGTGGGGGTTTATTGCACACGCATGCAGGGTGTTGTGCATGGATCAGGCAAGGGAAAGTGAACAGCATATGCGGGGCGTGCAAGGTGCATGTATTTGCAAAGAATGGGTGTGAACTGGGTGCAGATACTGTCAGTAAGGTGTGTTTTGATTGTGTAGGTGGTATGTTTGTAACATGCGCATACAAAGTATATACAGTGTGTGAGCAGAGGTAACGGGTTCACATGACATCTGCATGTGTTACATATGTGTGCAGTGGGCAGAACCCATGGGTACATGTGGCATGGATGTAATGGGTGTGTTCATACAACATAAGTGTGTGCTCCATGTGTAAAAAGGGCACCTGGTGAATTGGTAACATAGGCAGATTCACTCTGGGTACAAGCAAGCCCTGCATGAGACCCACTAATAAAGTGGGTTCTGCTATGTATTACTAGCTTCTGATGGCAGCCAATAGGCAGCTTTGGGGTGTACATGGAACCTGAGTGGTACATGGGCAGACTTTCACCCAGCATTCAGCATGAGTGCAAACAGAACAGATTTCCAAATGCACTCAGCACCCAGCAGCTCCCATGGTGATCCTGGGAGCCCAGTTTTCAGAAAAGCCCAGCAGCCAACATCTGCTCAGCACGCTGAGCTCTGGGCCAACGTGTGGTGTCTGGAGTGGTTGCACGACATTATTTCTTCCACGCCTCTTTCATTTGCAGTGAACCCAAGTCTGTGACCTTCACGGATGCCAGCAGCTTTGATATAGGGATTATTTAAGAAGCAAAAGGCAAGAGAGCCTAGGGCTGGGCTGAAGCTGCAGTTCCTTATAGCATTATGAGGCCCGAGAGGAGTTCTTTCCATAAGGAGGAGCTAGGCATGAGACTCTAAGCTCAAACACAGAGGTGTAAATCAGGAGAGATTTCATTTCCATCCGCTTCGCGCGGGGGGAAGGGGGAGATGAGATGTGACTTGGAGAGGCAGGCATGGGTGCTCTTCCGCTGCAGCGCTCCCTGGGCGGAGCGGAAGGAGCCCTGCCAAGAAGCCACCTTTATAATCTGGGTGTTTCTCTTTAAAGGGATGGCACTATGTTTGCTTAATGTGGGGCGGGAAGGAGGGGGGGCGGAAGAAAAACAACAACGTAGGACTTAGAGTTGGGGAATGTATAATTACATGTAAATGTTCTCCCGCACCAGCTCTTTGTGCTACAGGGAAAGCAGCTTTTATACCCAAGGCCCAGCCAGCACTGAGGCCTCTGGGCTTGATTCTGGATTCTATCCTGCCACTGATTTATTGTTTGATCTTAGACAAGTCACTTCCCCCATCCCGCTCTGTGCCTCACTTTCCCCATCTGAACAGCTGTTAATAGTTGCTACTGCTCTGTTTCATGGGGGCATGGAGACTCCGACCACTGATATTTGTAAAGTGCTTTGAGTTTGATCCTCAGATGAAAGGGGACAGAGGTATTATTGGCTGAGCAGGTTGGGTACACCGAGTTGGCCCTGGTGAGTTTTACATTCGCTTCACTTTGCTCTGGCTTCTTTGGAAACAACTGTGCAATCAGTTTCAAAGGGTGAGGCTTTTATCTGGAGAGAACAGGTCTGATCACCTGTGCTTCCCTGGGTGAATCACTAGCAGCTAAAAAGCCTAATTCCCTGTGCTCTGAGTGCCTGGGGCTGAGCCCTCCCCAGCTAAGTAGGTTGAGGCCTGGTCAGTGCTTGGATGGGAGAGCTGCTGAGTGGACAAAAGTGGTGCTGGCAAGTCGGCATAGGATGTTTGGAGTCAGTATTGAAAAGCTGCTTTCCAATGAGATGTAAAATCAAGCTCTAACTAAGCTGCTGTGGTCATTAAAGATCCCTTGGTGTTTCTTCCATTAGCAAGACCAGCATCTACTCTCCCAGGGATGCTACACGACCTTTAGAAGGACAGATTTGCAAATGTCTCTCTTTTCTCTTCCCCCACTCCATCTCTCCCCTCTTCCCACCCCCTACTCTCTCACATGGGCACAGGCTCCTGCAGCAGGATCACAGTTTGTTTCGTGTCAGATTTTCCTAATTGTCTTTCTTCTCTTCCCCCCTGCCGTCATGGTTCCTTTGTGTTTGGGAAGCAGGTGCTTTTATTTATAGCTGCCACATGAACAGCCCACACCTTCGCGTTGTGTTGCGATTTCTCAGAATTCAGCACATCAGAATTTAACCCTGCGATGACTCAATATAGCCAACCATAGGGAGTTATTGTTGCGCAGCAACAGGCGCTAGCTGAGGGGGGAAAGGCTGTTACCTGGGTGATGAACATTTTAGAGGGTCAGTGCCACAGTTAACAAGGACCCGAGTGGGGCCGCTTTTGTTTGCTTATAACTGCATGCAACAAAACCAAACGGCCACAAACTCTTTTTTAATATTGGGGGGGAGAGGAGATGAATCCAGGCCTCAGCTTAGTACATATGAGCAACTCTACAATAATAACCAACTAGTGTGCAAAGCAACTTGAGAATAACAACCAACCAGTATGCACAGCACTTGTGAAGAACCCTACAATGACAACCAACCAGTACGCACATCTCATGAGCAACCCTGCAATAACAACCAAGTGTGCACAGCACTTGTGAAGAACCCTACAGTAACAACCAACCAGAGTGCACAGCCCAAGAGCAAATCTACAATAACAACCAACCAACATACACCGCACATGTGAGCAACCCTACAATAATAACCTGCCAGTATGCATAGCCCTGGTGAGCAGCCCCAGTGTGTGCCTGCACTAATACCAAACCATCGTGCACATGGGTGGAAGCAATCAGGAGACAGGGCCGGCTCTAGCGTTTTTGCCGCCCCAAGCAGCAAAAAAAAAAAAAAGTCGCGATCGCAAGCGGGGGCAGCTTTACTGCCGCTTCATTCTACGGCAGCAATTCGGCGGCAGGTCCTTCGCTCCGAGAGGGAGTGACGGCCCCGCCGCTGAACGGCCGGACATGCCGCCCCCCTCTTCATTGGCCGCCCCAGGCACCTGCTTGCTACACTGGTGCCTGGAGCTGGCCCTGACAGGAGAGGCATCTTGCGCCTACTGTGGACATGGTGCTGTTAGTGACTGAGTGGGAGATAATCCCCAACCCCAAATCTCTATTGGCTGCATTCCCCTGCCAACCACCCTGCTATGGGCGGAAAGCTCTGAAAGCCACAGCTCCACATGGGTGGGAGCCCAATCAGTGTGAAGCACCTGCTGATAAATAGCCAGCGGCTGCTGCTGGTCTCAGCTGTGCTGTTTGCTTAGAGACCGATCCTTGGGGATCTGACCAGGCCATTAACACTGTCCTTTAAATCAGCTGCTGTCCAACCTGCCAGCAGGCTGGCTGGTTTAATGAACAGAGCTGTGTCTTGTGACTGTGGCTGAGGGCCTGATGCAAGGTTCCAGGGAGCAATTCATTGGCCCCCTTCCAGCCCTGCTCGGCTTCAGCATGGGTCCCATCTGCTCAGCACCCCCAAACAATACCAGTATTTTTCCTTTCTCTATTGACTTTTTTTCCTCCCTTCCCTCGAGTGAATTTAGCTCTGAGGAGGAGCAAGGC